CGGGCCTCACCTCTGCCCCACAACCCCTCCTCTTGCCCCATCCCACCCCACCCACTTGTCCATCTCTTTGCGGATCTCCCCCTGAGCCATGCTCTTGAGCCGAGAGTAGAACCAGAGGTGTTCCTCCACCGTGAGCCGGTCAAAGAGCACATTGTGCTGTGGACACATGCCCAGGTTCTTGCGGATCTCGTCCATCTCCGTGCGGATGTCGTGCCCGTAGATGGTGGCTGAACCCGACGTGGGCGGGAACAGGCCCGTGAGGATAGACCTGGGCGGATGGGTAGGGTCACAATCTCCACCGCCTGCAGGAATCCCACCCAGCCGCCTGCTTGGTCAGAGACTCCCCGCTCAGCCTGACACGCACATGGTGGTGGTCTTGCCGGCCCCATTGTGGCCCAGGAAGGACACCACCTGGTTCTCATAGAGGTTCAGACTCAGCTTATTCAAGGCCAGCTTCTTGTCATTCTTGTAGACCTTGGTGAGCTTGTCCACGCAGACTACCAGTGGCAGGTGGGTGGGCTCCTCCTCCATGCCGCGAGTCTCCTCTGTACCACAGCCACGGGTCAGCACTAAGGCTGCCCCAGGACCCCGAAACCCAGCGACTGCCCCAGCCTCCATCCTGGCGCCTGCCTCACCCAAGCGCCGGCTCTCCATGGCACAGGCCTGGTCCTCCTCCATGACGCTAAGGCGGGTGGCACGAGCCCACGGCCAGCTCCACTCCCACGCCTCTGTACGCCCACTGCCCAGCCAGTAGGACTTCTGCAGTGGGAAGTACCAGGGCCGGGGTAGCCCATACATGCCTGGGGGTTGGGGAGAGGTGCGAGTGTTGAGTTAGGGCCTGGGGTTACTGGCCATGTGCCCCCCCCCAGGGAGCTGCAGCCCACCCCTCCCCATCCCTCCAAAGGGCTGGTCAGTACCTGGATGCACAGCCTCGATGTACCATGTGAGCACGCCGTAGACGACCGCATCCACCATCAGCATGGTGACAGCCAGAAGCAGGTTGAAGTCGTCCCCTTCCACAGGTGATTGGCTGAACGTGTGCCACTGGATGCCCACGCCCGCCACTTCATACAGGGCAAAGTACTTGGAGCCCAGGCCAAAGGCCGTTGTGGACATCAGGGACTAAGGAGACAGCGGCGTCAGCGGAAGAGGGCCGGACGCACGCCCCACCCCTCACCCCGCCCTGCTCCCCACGACCCTTACTGCAATGCACTTCTCGAAGGCAGTGATCTTATCGTGGGCCACCTCCTCACGGATCGCAACGTACATGTAAGGCACATAGCTCAGGAAGTAGATGATGCCACCGCAGGCCGAGGCCAGTTTGGCCTTTGAGTACAGCACGGACACCAGGAAGCTGGGGTAGGCAGGGCCACAGGCCATCAGCCACACCCAACATCTCCTTGGCTCCCGGGGGCTCCAAGCGGGGCTGTTTCTGTGTTTTCTGGGTAAACGTGAGGGACACTCCCTCCCAGCCCACCAATCACACGATGCTCACCAGAACATGATGGTGGCCACAGCGTAGACAGCCAGAAAGAGCCAGATGATGAGCACGTGGCTGTGCATGAGGACTTGGCCATACTTGAGGATGGCGGTGAGCGCCGTCACCGAGATGGACAGCTGCACGAAGCCGGTGATGAACCAGGCCACCCAGTGTACGGCATTGTCCAGGCCCATCGTCTTCATCACCTGTGGCCAGGTGGGCAGGGTAGGTAGGGAGCCTTGGGGTAGGGGCTGGGGTGGGAAGGTGCCTACAGCTACCCCCCACTCCCATGCCTCCCTCTGCCTCTACCCCACCTCCTTCAGCCGGTGCTCCTTCTCTGCCACAATGTGCTGGATGGTCATGGCCACGGAGTAGACCCAGGAAATCACCATGCAGAGCGGCATCATGTGCTCGATGACAAACAGGAAACTGGGGTGGGAGCAGGGGCATGAGGGATGGGCTCGGCCCCGCCTCCACCCCCTGGGACCCCGAACTCACTCATCCCGCGTGTAGCAGGGGTAGGGGAACATCTGCACGTAACTGCCCGGCTCCACCACATCATGCCCCACAAAGGTGTTGATGATGGCGCGTTCCATCATGTCTGTGAGCAAGGTCGATCGTCAGCAGGTGTGGGGGCCCCGCCCCCCGTGACCCCAGGGGCGGGCCTCACCCTGGATCCAGACGAAGCCATACAGAAAGTAAAAGCGGCCCCCAGTGTTGGGCCCCGGTCGCCAGTAAGCCCGGCGGATTTCGTTGGTTTTCTCGGTGAAGCTGGAGTTTTGGCGAATCTTGTAGTGCACGTGGGGCGGCAAGGAGCCGTCCTTGCGTGTCTGGAAGATCACGCCTGGGACAGGACGAGGGGCAGGGTGGGGGTGTGAAGGGGCCAAGACAGGGGATGGGGACTTGCAGAGAGCAGGCAGGGACAGGAGCTGGGTGAGGTGGAGCTGAAGAGGAAGGGGCGGGGCCACGAGGGGCGGGGCCACGAAGGGCGGGTGGGGCTCAAATGGGGAGGGACTGGAAAAGAGGCGGGGCCCAAGCTCACTGGCGAACACTGTGACATTGTCCTGGTAGGCCTGGTTGAGGGTGTAGTTGACGATGCTCTCCTCGTCCGGGAAACCCTTGAAGATGTCTACGCTCACCTGGGGGGAGGGGCATTGTTGGAGCCAGCCCTGGGCACCAGAAGAGCCGCGTGGCGCTGGCCCACCCCACCTTGGACATGAACTGGATCCAGCCACAGGCCGCGTTGTCGATGGTGTCCAGCTGCTGCAGGAGGGCCGAGCCATTAGGCAGCGAGAAGTTGTCCTGGCGCAGGGCGGGCGGCAGCTCCTCCAGCGACAGGTTCAGCGCCTCAGGGTGCAGCCGCAGCTCCGCCACGTACTGGGGGCAGAAAGCCGGCTCAGAGGGTGGCCTGCGCCAGCCACCACCCAGGGCAGAGTGGGCTCCCCACCGCCCCCAGCCCAGGCCCCCTGGCACCTGCTGCAGCCAGAGCAGGTGCTGCTGCAGCCTGCCCTGCTCCAGGAAGCTGCGGATCTCGGCCGAGATGTTGAGCCAGACCTGGGCATAGTGGGTCACATTGCCTACAAAGGCAAAGGTCTCGTTGGCCTGCAGAGGGTGAGGGCACGGGGCATGGGGCTCACTCAAGGACCCCAGCTAGCGAGGGGTCTCTCCACTGCCTCACCTCCCACAGCAACAACCACTCTTGCTCTGGCCAAGCTTCTACCTGGAAGCTCCAAGCCCTCCCCCGCCCCACCTTTCTGCAGGGCCCCCTGAAACTCGCTCTGACCCCCCTCCCAGGGCAGCATGGTGTCCCAGTTCCCCTGCCTCGCCAGCTGTGCCCTCGCCACTCCTTCCTCAGACCCCTTCTCCAAGCGCCCCTTGAGCAGTGCTGACACTTGGCCCTCATTCCCGCCACTCAACCTGTGACGCCCTCCACAGCCTCTCCCCTCCCTGGGCCATTTCTAGCCCTGGTTTCTACTTGGTCCAGACAGGACCTCTCCCCTGGGATGGCCATAGACACCTTGCCCTGAGGCAGTCCCAAACTACTGAGCTGCCTGGCCCACATCTCACCCACTGGACGCTGCTCTGGAAGGTTTCTGCATGTGGCCTCTCCTCCATTCTCACCAGCACTGACTGGCCCTGGCCACACCCAGCCAGGCCAGGACCCTGTACCACAGCACCCGTGGGTGCATCCACACTGCAGCCCCCACGTACCCCTGAACCTTGACCTTGTCCACGGCCTGCAGAGCCACGGAGGAGCTTGATGGCCTGCGCTGCAGCCCTCCTACGCCAGTTCTACCGACCCCCGCACCTCCACTCAGGAGTCTCAGCCTGCAAAACTCTCCTCCCAGCTCCTCCAGCTCAGGCCCCGGAGGACACGCGCAGCTCCAACCCCCTAAGCGCAGACTCACGCACCTTGAGGATGACGCGGTCCGCCTCGGAGCCCGCCGGCGCATACAGGATCTTGGGGTTGCTGGTCATGAGGTGCACGAGAAGGCCCAGGTTCCTCTGTTCCTTGCTCGTGAAGCCCAGAGAGCTCATGTTGCCTCGGCGCAGCGCCTCCGGCTCAATGGTGCTGTGGGGGTGGGGCGGGCCCTTAGGGGTGGGGGTNCCTCCCCTCCGTCAGCCCCGCCCCTCCACAATTCCCTCCCTCCACTGGCGCCAGCTCTTCCACCCCTGTACCCGGCCTCCTCCACCTCCTCAAGCCCCACCTGAACCCCACCCTGCCTCCACACCTGGAAAAGGCGCTCGAAGGCCCCCTTCTTGGCAGCCTCGCTGGGCAGGATGTAGGAGAGCTCCGTGCTCGTGTCAGAGACCAGCAAGCAAGAGGCCACATGCTTGCGGATGAACTGGGAAACCTGGGGCTCCGAGCAGCTGCTCAGCTGGGCCCGACTTGGGGGGCTGGACATCAGCCCTGGCTCTAGGAGGGTAGGGGAGTAAGGAGAAGCTTCACCCAAGGGCTGGGGAATGGGCACCCTCTAGGAGAGCACAGCCAGGTCAAGGTGGGGACCTGGGGACAGGGTAAGCCAGGCCTGACCAGGCGTCCTGGGCCCACTGGGAAAATGGTGAGAGCAGAGCCCCCTCTACCTCACTGGTCTTGGGAATGGACTCCCAGGGCAGCAGGCCCCAGACCAGCTCAGGTGACCTCAGCACAGACCTTGGGGGGCCCCTGGCTCAGCAGGACGCTTGACCAGCGTGAGGCGGTAGCCGTCCCCATAGGCGCCCTTGAGGAACAGTGGGGAGCCGCAGCACTTGAGCTTCCCGTGGGAGATTATGGCGATGCGATCCCCGAGCAGGTCAGCCTCATCCATATGATGGGTGGAGAGGAGGATGGTGCGGCCTGGGAGACGCCAGGATCAGGGTTAGGGGGCGGGGCTGGGTGGGGCAAGGCAAGGGCACCACACCTGCCCAGCGTCCCGCTCACCAGGCTTATACTTCAGGATGAGGTCCCAGATCGCGCGGCGTGCATAGGGGTCCACGCCAGCCGTGGGCTCATCAAGTATGATGGCGCGGGAGCCACCCACAAAGGCAATGGCCACAGAAAGCTTGCGCTTCATGCCGCCTGAAAGCGTCTGCACCAGCGAGTGCCGCTTGTTGGAGAGCTCCAGGTCTTCAATCATCCTTTAGGCCAGACAGAGCAGGTGGGAGCAGGCCCGTGGGAAGCTCAGCCGCAGCCCCCG